CGATCCTGGTCTCGAGGATTCTATCTCGCTGGTGAGAGAACCAAATCGAGTATCTACAGCTTGTGTTTGGTTTTCTGATTCGATAATTCAACAATGCTGGATCGAAATTGTTGAAATCTCTAATGAAATGGCGATTATCGGTTCTCACTTTTCATTTCATAGTTTGAATGTTGCCGTTTCTTCGTATCCAAATTTATCCGTACCTCCTGTTTCTCTAGATATGTACGAGCTTTTGATGAGGGAAACTGATGCGTGTTCTTGGCAAATTAGGTTTGGGAGGAGAGAACACAGGGGAATTCATCATTGTTCAATGGCCAAAAATTCAGAGTATGCAATATACTTTTTGCCTAGCGTTTCATGTTATATTAATTTGAGTTTCGAAATTGCAAGGATCAAAAAAAAGATGATGAGAATTAATGCACGAGATGTATTGTCTTTGAAGTTGTTTCGTACTTGGGTCACTAATCAAAGTAGCTACTTCATTCAATGTAATCAAATTTCCACTAAAATTTGTTTAAAAATGTTCAGTCTGGATCATATTGTTTAGATGGTGATGGTGATGGCGATGAAGTACCACACGTCTGCCTTCGCCTTGGACTGACAGATTACAGGTTACTCATTTATCTCTCTTTGTCATTTTTTGCATAGGATCAGAAGGAACTCTAATTTGTCGATTCCTGGTATACATGAAGAGAGTAATTGATCACGGACATGGTTTCCTAGGACTTTTGTAGGAACGAATTTGAGTTCTCTGTGGGAGAGGTTCCTTGTTACATCAGAAGGTACACACAAATACCAACCTCCGAGAAACTTTTTGTGATCATTGTCTAGTTTTGTGTTGGGAAACTGGAGAGCTTCCAGGTGATTTGACCAGGTTTCTTAATCGCCATAGTTTTGTTCTCCCAACAGATGACTCTGTAAGATGTCGACATACATCAAGTCCACTGGGTAATGGTGCAGTGATCGAGACTTCTGACAAAAAGATTATTGTGTTACGCCGGAGTGATAACGTCGGGGAATTTCCAGGTCACTACGTATTCCCTGGAGGCCATCCAGAGGTATTCACATTAAGCAGCATCATATCGTCTCTTTTCTAACTCTTTTGTGCATGGTTGATGAATTTTAACATTGCAGCCAATAGCAGTAGGTATCGATGATTCTCATCAGCTTGAGAAAGATGGTGAAACCAGTGAGCTTTTAAACAAGAAGGTAGCTCAAGAAATGTTTGATAGCATTATCAATGAAGTTGTCGAAGAAACTGGAATACCAGCATCATCTCTTGTAAGTCAGAGAGGGTTTTTCTTTTATTCTTACTTAGGATCCCTAGAGACATCTAAATCCTGATCGGTGTTTTACAATCACAGAGCTCTCCTCTCTTCATCGGAATATCTCGGAGGGAGCTAAATGTGAGACCAGCTATGTTTTTCTTTATCAAGTGTAGTCATCATTCAGATGAGATACCAAGATTATACTCTATTGCTGAAGATGGGTTTGAGTCAACACAGCTCCACACTGGCTCTATGGTTTAGTTTTTAACCCTTCAACATACATGTTTTACTCTCTAAAATGCTATGATCCCATCATTGAGTAAATGTAGCTTCTCTTTATAATAATCGATCAGGACGAGCTGAAGACGATGACATCAAGAATGCCAGGTTGCCACCATGGCGGTTTTGCGCTCTACGAGCTGATGCTTCAACGTCTCAAGAACACTGATGAAACGCTTTTAACATCGACCTAAGAGTAATGAACTTGAAACTTATTGTAAGTCGTCTTATGGCTTGCAAATAATCACCATATGTGTGGTATGTGGATAAGTGAATTCAATAGCTCATTTGCTATTTGAGAATCTAGTATGATTGTTTAGCGACGAGTTGTTTGTATTGTCATTACTAAATTCCTTAG